TTCCTCAAACATGTATAGATGGTAATGTTATTTTAAAAAAGTGTATTGCTGGTAATATTTTCTTCCTCAAAAAATGTACAGCTGGTAATATTTTGTTTTGTTAAAAATCTATTTCTGGTAATATTTTCTTCCTCAAACATGTATAGATGGTAATATTATTTTAAAAAGTGTATTGCTGGTAATATTTTCTTCCTCAAAAATGTATAGCTGGCAATATTTTGTTTTGCTAAAAATCTATTTCTGGTAATATTTTCTTCCTCAGAAATGCATAGCTGGTAATATTATTTTAAATAATATATTGCTGGTAATATTTTCTTACTCAAAAATGTATAGCTGGCAATATTTTGTTTTGATAAAAATCTATTTCTGGTATTATTTTCTTCCTCAAACATGTATAGATGGTAATATTATTTTAAAAAATGTATAGCTGGTAATATTTTGTTTTGTTAAAAATCTATTTCTGGTAATATTTTCTTCCTCAAAAATGCATAGCTGGTAATATTATTTTTAAAAATGTATTGCTTGTAATAGTTTTTTTTCAAAAACGTATTGCTGGTAGTAGTTTTTTTTTTTTCTACAAAAATTTATTTCTTTTAATAATTTTTACAAAGTATTTCTGGTATTAAAACCTATTTTTTTCACTTTCATAATGCTTTTTACCTCAGTTTCGGGGTTAAATATTTTCCCATAGCTGGGACCCTAACAGGTGCTACCACTACGGGTCAGAGTGGACCTGGGTACACCATCAATTAAGAGGTGGTTCTACACTTCTCAAAACCTCCTCATCAGAGGCCTTGCTGTTGGACGTAGATTATCGTCTTACCCTGGACGCGGATGTAGTTTATCGTCTTACCCTGGACGCGGATGTTGTTTATCGTCGTACCCAGGACGATCTGGAGGGAAAAAAAACTAGTTTGTCAATAGAAACCACAATAAAGAAAGTTTATATAAGATATTATAACGTCATATTAAACCTGTAGAAAAAGATTATAAAAATATTTAAAACTAGTAATTTAATAAAAAAATATTATTTATCAACTCACCAACCACCTACGTAAAACTAATGTTGCATACAACTTATATATCCAATTAGAGATTGTATCTTTGTATACAATAAACAATGTATGTTATGTAGGTTGCACAACAACCACACTTTCCCGCGGAATTACGTGCTAGTTATTCAAACAAAGTGCTACTGGACAGCACATTAACTAGCACCTTAATAACCATAGTACGATTGGACAGCTCCTTACAAACAACATCAAACAATACATGAATGCAATAGAAAAAATAAACCCAAAAATATTGAAGTCACCTCTACCAGGAAAAAATAACCATGCATTAATAAAAAGAATTTCAGTCTCCAACCCACTATTCTCCAATGCATATATATATATATATATATATATGAAGAAAAATATACGGAAAAAACAAACAAAAATCTTAATATGCAATTATGCTGTTTTAATGTTAATATAATGTCAACGTCAGACGTTTCGGTCTAGTAGACCATCTTCAGGACATATTCATAAAACATAATTAACATTAGACTATATTTAATTCAACATGAAAAGACGACGGACATAAGAGTACGACTAATCAAATCAGATAACTGAAATTTTTCAAGATCAGCGTTCCATTTCAATATGATCACGTCGGCGTCACGTGGGCGATGTTGTGAAAACGTATTTCTTAAAATAGAGTATTTTGAATGAAAAATGAAAATAATTTTATTTTAATCTAAAACTTATATTAAAGAAGCCGGGTCTAGTATTCACCGTGCGTGAGATAGATATTATGTCTGCCTCATAAATCCGTCTAAGATTTTTATTATGAATATATTTTAAAATCTTCACAGAATCAAAATCGAAATTATGATCAGATTTAGTTGTGTGTACAAATAAAGCATTGTTTAAATTACCGAGGCGAATATCTCGTTTATGTTCGAAAACACGAGATTTTACGGACCTACATGTTTCACCTACGTGAATACTAGACCCGGATTCTTTAATATTTCCCCTTTTCTAGCAAGATTAATGCTCGACAAACGTACATATAAGTTTCAGATTTGAGGCTCTACAGAAGGATCCTTAGAATACCATGGACCGAGATTGTGAGCAACAACGAGGTTTTAGAGAAAATGGAAACAAAGAAACTTATAGTTAACACCAGGAAGAGACAACTGAAATTTCTTGGACACCTAATGAGGAAAGTGTGCTTGGAAAATTTGTTACTCACATGACAAATTGAGGGCAGGAGTGTGAGAGGAAAACAACGCATGACATACTTAGTGAGCTTAAGTAAATGGATGGCTGAACAAGGTTTAGGAAAAATAAAAAGAGACAAAATTTATTAAGAGCTAAGATGGACAGGAAATTGTGGAAAGCCATGATCGCCTACGTACTGAATGTATACGAGTCATGAAGAAGAATCATTTGTGTATATATCTTACTGGGAAACACAAAATCCGAAACTCCAGTAACAACGGACATATAAGTTAATGTAAGAATCGTATATTGTCAAAACATTATTTCAATGTAGATACACTTCTTCTCAAACATCAAAGTGGGAAACTGAAATGAATCTAAGTTTATTATGTGTAGCCTTCTTACAAATAATATAGCTATCGATAAAATAATTATTCTTGATGAGGCTAACGCCAGAGTAGTTGGGTCTTCGATTCTATTAACGATGTAGTTGGGAAAGACGAAATGCAAAAATGCAGTTGTAACTAACTTCTTTGCCACTGACGATAGAGAAATTTTGTCAGGACATTTAGCTTCTCCGTGTTCTTGCACAAGTTCGTTAGGTAGGTTTATGTCCTATAAGTATTAAATTCTTATTATTATGTATCCCAAATATTTCGACTGCCCCCTAATTCTAATTGTGTCTTTCTTGTTTCCGTTTTCCCAAAAAGTCTCACGTTGCTTCCGTGCTTCATTCATTCCCACCATCCTTCTGCAGAAACAAATTTCTGTTGCCTATTATCCTTTTAATGTGTGAGAAAACGGTGGCATAATGGATAGCGGCTCGGATTGAGGAATCGGAGAGCCGAGTTCGAATTCAGTTGAATCTATTACATTCACTTACTTGCTAATACCCGTGGGAAAGGTATGAATCCTCTTCTTCCCCCCACCACCAGCTATGGGTAAATAGCAGGACAGACCGAGTTCTATGACCTTGGATGGCAACTGGTCTACCACAGAAAGAAATGGCAACCTATTGCAGGAAAAAAAGCTGCCTCGTCAGTTATGTATCGAAGATATATGATCGCCTAAGCGTGTATAACACATGGCATATAACTGATTACATTATAGCTAAGCACTCTTTTCTTTGCTTCTAAGGAATGCTAGAGACAACATTGTTTTCAATATCCTTCGACATGATGATAAAACATGCTACTGCAGAGATGGAAGACGTAAGCCAAATGTACATCATCACATGTAAAAACAGCAACCCATTGAACCGAAGCGACACAGGACCTACAGCAAGATCACTGACTAGAGAATATGCTTGTCTAATGGTGGTCTCTCAAATGGTAATAGCCTGCTTTTGAAAATCTGTGGTACACTTTAGCGTCAAAATATATTCTTCATCAACATAAACAGTAATTTAACCCAACTTTAAGAAATATCCCAAACTTTCACCTACCTTAGTTTTATCATCTTCCCCAAGACAGCAAGGAAGACTGCCAAAGGCCAGTATAGATTATTGGAAACGATACCAACTTGTCTAGGGAAATATAACTCTCAGGAATGACACGAAAAGAAAGGTTTATAAAATTATATTACCCACCTTTCTACATGTAGCGAATCTTTGTTTATATATCTGCCCTGGAGTGATTTCATCACTAATATCGAGCCCTTCAAGTCAGCGAGTGCATCAATCATTGAAGCAAAAGCTCAACTCCGATGATCAAGGAACGAAGACAATAGACTTATCATCTTGTTCCTCACCTGGGTTTCACAATAAATTACATCCGACAACAAGGCCTCTGATCGAGACGTTTTGGGGAGCGTATAATCACCTCTTAATTGCTGTTGTTCCCAGGTACATCCTGACTCGGGGTGATAGCACCTGTTAGGGCCTCATCTATGGGCAAATAGTTTAGCGCCAAACTGGAGAATAAAAAATATTTTTTATTGTGAAATACCAGCAATACATTTTTGAAAAAGAAAATATTACCAGCAATACATTTAACTATCGACAAAAGCCCTCTTTACAAAAACCTGTCAATGAAACCTGCTGTACAAACTGATTTCTTACAAGGAATACATATTCTATTCATACGAATCTATCCTAAAATCTTATCGGCATTAAATAATCTGTCGAGGTTGATATTCTGTAAAACAAAATATACGAAACCATCCTGTTCGATGAACTGGCCTCTGACAGACAAAGTATGAAAGAATGTATAGAAAAGACACAATGATTTTATTGTCTTCTGGAGCATCATCTACAGCCATTTAAGAACAGAAGCTGCACACAGAGACCGGGTAACGTAAGATCCAGCCGGCAAACTCATTTTCCAAAGGAAATGGCAGAGGAAATGAATAAAAAAAAGCATTGTAACACTGAAATTCTCACTAATTACAAAACATTCTTCTGGAATTAGTTATTGATCAATTGATCAATTAATTGATTGATTTTTGACGACATATTAATCTTTGCAGGTTATTTAAAGTTAGAGAACATTTTTAGATTGCAACAATTACTATGGAGATGATAATGATTTACTGATGCAGTTTCTATTTGTCTATATGTGAGGATTCTTTGTTCATATTTCTAAGCCTCTTCGAATGTTAGTTGCACCCTCCCATGTCTATAAAAGCCAGTCTATCCTACTATTTAACCATACCGGGGGAGAGGATGTAGATTGAAACCTTCCCCAAAGGTATTTGCGCGTAAGTGAATATAAAGAACCCAACCAGAATTGGAACTCGGCTCTTCGATTTTCAATTCGTTGACATTATCTATTACACCACCCGTAGATCCAATAGCTTACAGCACCTGATACTCTAGAACGGTCACGCATCTATGTACTGAACAGACTCAACGTTGCTTAACTTCGGTGATCGTACGAGAATCGGTGTTTCAGTGTGATATAGCTGTAAGTATAGTTGTTTTTTTGTTGTTGTTGTTGTTGTTTTTTGTTTTTTAGTTGATTCGTTTTTACGGGTTATCAACCTTTGCAGGTTGTTTGAAGCTAGAAAACATTTTTAGATTGTAAGAATTTAATTATCTAAAAAGATAATAATGGTTTTACCGATACAAGTGTTAATAATTAACCCATAGCTGGGAATAGAAGAGACAGATTCGTACATTTCCCAAGGGTATTTGTGCGTAAGTGAATATAACAAACCCAATGTGAATTGAAAATCGACTCACCGATTAACACTTCCGAGCGATTATCTATTACACTAACCGCATATCCAATAGGTTACCGCACCTAGTATTCCAGAGCGGTCACCAATAGGTACTGATCAGGCTCAACGTTGCTTAACTTCACTGATCGTACTTGAACTAATGTTTCAACATGATACTGCCGTAAGCCTTCTGGAGCTAGTGATATATCAGCTTATTTTCTAAATAAACAGCATTAAAGCAACTGTGTTCTTAATCTGCTCTCAGCTTTTCAAATACACACAGACATATTAGCATCGGAAGCAATAGGCGTTGTAAGAAAAAAAACTAGTTTCTAGTCCGAGTATTCCTTCACAATCACTGCAGATGGTCCTCGGTATTAAATCCTGTCCATGTCTCATGCCTGCTGTAGATATACTACATCCCATATCACACAACTGGTTGAGTTCACGTTTAACAAACATCGTAGAGCGAAAGCATTCAATGTATTTTTATGTCTTTAATTTTGCCAACTAGTGCTAGACAAAATAGTCAATAAGAAGAACTTATGATGGGCCTTGTTTGACTCCTTTTTTGTTTTTTTTTTTTGGTTGGTAAAAAATAACATATATTCATCATAACAAGAGAGTGAGACATTTATAAATATATATGTATATTCAGAAGGATTTTGTTGTATACGTTCGCCAGTTGTATGAAAGTTCTTGTAATGTGGTTCTTAGCAAATGTTTCTGGTTTGTGTTTGTCTTAGTGAGTGAATAAATTATTTACAAATCTATCTGTAAAAGGCAATATTAAACATGAGAAAGTGACATTTTATAAGACTTATCTGTGGTCTTCATTTCTGGAGCTGCTCAAATCTATATGTTTCCCTTCCGAAGGACCAATGAAAAATAGAAAGTCCCTAGATTTCCCGTTACTATGCCGGTTTCCTTTTTTTTTACTGTGGAATCGTGGGAATTAGATTTATTTTTATTTCTCGTGATCGCGAGATTACAGCAATCTCAAATCTCCGAATTGACTATTTTCTCTTGCTCTTTCATTCTTCTATTTTATTTTATTAACGAATACCACCAACTCAGTACCATTTTTAAAACACGGCTATCTTGGACATTAATCTAAAGCAATAAACAATTTCATTAATTCAGAAATATCTTAATAAATTATATATAATAAAATAATATTCCTGCGAGTATTTGTGAAACGCTACAACCATCAATTAGCTTCATAAAATTGTATATAAGAAACAGTTTTTGACAACATTTTCAACTGCAAATACAGTGAGTTCACAGGTTTAATTTCTCATCACTGAAAATAATCTAAATTGTCATTCTAAATCTGGATAATCATTTTCCACACGCACAACGAAAACATTGAAAAATCCTTTCATCGATCACTACAATTACTTAAGTGTTTGAAAAGAAGCTAAAGCTAAAGGAATGCTATACTGAACAATTTTTATTTCGTTGCACAGTTATGGCCGATTTATTCAAGAATACAAAGCTTTTCCGCGGTGACAAGCAAGTCGATGCATCCGAACTGAAAAACAAGATTGTGGGCCTTTATTTCTCTGCCCACTGGTGTCCTCCGTGTCGTAGTTTCACTCCAAAGCTGAAAGAATTTTACGAAAGTTTGAAAGAAGAACTTTTCGAATTAATCTTTGTCACCTCTGACCGTTCCGAGGAGGGATACCTGGACTATTATAATAATCATCATGGCCTGTGGCTCAGGTTGGAATTCAATGATCCCATGATTAAGTAAGTACTCTTTCAAATACATTCAAGTCCAGAGTGCGGACAAAATATTTTCTACATATACCTATTAGAAAAACCTCCCACACAATGGTAAGACATTAATGGCAGTGGTGTCTTGATCTAACTAATGTCTTACCATTATGGGAGTTATTTCGGGGATGTTTATGTGGGAGGTATTTCTGCTACTCCATCTATTTTATCATGCACTTCAATACAATGATATAGAAAGTTGAATAAATTTTAATAAAATCTATGCAAAAAACACGAGGAATTGCAATAAAGTATAACTTAAAAATTATTTTCTTACGTTGCATAGAAATAAAGTCATTTACTTTTTAAAATTATGTTTAATTCTCTTTGCCTTTATACCGAAAATCATACGTAAAAAAATTCTTTAACCACTTATTGTCAACATTTATCAAGAAGACAATCGAATTTGAAAAATCTACCAAAAATCAAATAATTAATATTTTTTATTATATTTTCGGTATTTATTCATAAAAATTGATGTTGTTTATAAAAATTTCACTTTTTAAAACAGAGAAAAAGTAATTCTTGAAATATTTTTACATTAATAATTCCGGTTTTTTAATTTCATATTTTAACAAATGTATATTCGAACTTAACGACATTTATCTCGTAAAAAGATGAATCTCTAAATAGCTGAATAAAATTATGTTTTTCTTATAACACTGAGTGTCGATTAATATCCTGAATTTGAACATTTTCAACTGTAATATAATATAAAATACGGATATTTTTAGAAGATTTACATTTAAAATATTCTGAAGATTTACACCGTCAAAGTGATGTCTTTTGTTTAAAAGCACCTTTAAAGTAGGTACCACCAAAAAATTCGGTATAGCTAAGGTTTAAATGTTTAGTTGGGAAAACATTAGATGATATATATTCTCCAAAAAGTCCTGCTTATATATATATATATATATATATATATATATATATGGAATTAAGTTACGGGGGTGGTAACAGATGTAAAAAAAATATATTTTTTACCAAGATGTTCTAAAAATAAAAATTCAAAAAATAAATTCATTCACTTTTTAATACGTCCTGAAAGTTTCGTTAAAATTTTACAATTATTTGATTTTTGTAAGAATTTCCAAATTAATGTAATTTTACCGGAAACTGCTATGCAAAAATGTCCATAACCACGATTCTTACATAGTTAAAAAAAAAATCCTGATATTTACCCAAATTTCGAACGTGTTAGAAAGGAGGAAAAATTTTTTTAAAATAATTCAAAAATACTTTGTTCCTGCATTCTTAATAATAACATAGATATTTTGAGGTTAAAACTTTGTTTTTATTAAGTTTGGGGCCTTTTGTAATCAGGCTATACTGATTTTTTAGCGAATTATTAGAGTTACTTACTTTAAAATGTCAGGGATGGAAGCTTATCAGAAAAGAAACAGTCTTCTCACATCTTGAAGGAAGCCTAATCTTGTATAAGGCAATCAGGTATATGATTTTTGTATAGGTAGCCATTTTGTAGAAAATTTCTGTCTAAAGTTTTTGAAGAGAATCATGACGCTGATTTTTATTATAACTATTTTATAGTATAATAATATTTTCTTGTCTATCCCAAAAACAACTTAGCCAATCCAATTCGTTTGTATTATTATCACTGCTATTTCGATTCTTTATAGTTGTATACATAAGTAAAGTCTAATTGGTTATCCAATGAAATGGTAAATCTGGTACTATATATATATATATATATATATATATATATATATATATATATATATATTATGATTGCCACTTCTTTACAGAAAAAGACCATCTCTTACATTTAAAATGAAAATTTGTTTGATAAGGATCTTGAAACGATAAAAAATGGAAAAGAATGAAATATGGGAAAAATCACTCGCATTTGCAAACAATTTCTAAAAGCCTTTCCTTATTATTAAGTGAAAAAACTTTAACAGTTAAAATTATTAAAAAGGGAATAAAAGAAGGAAAGCTAGTAAAATGATGAAAGGAATAACACCCAGTTAAGAAAGCTTTAAATCAAAATACAGCCAGTTTCGATTATTATAGTTGTATACATAAGTAAAGTCTGATTGATTATCCAACGGAATGATAAGCAAATATAAATGGATATAAATCCGACAGAATGAAGAAAATATCTGGAAAAACAAAACAAAAATCTTTAAAATGCGATTATGTTGTTTTAATATGAATGAAATGTCGACGTCTGACGTTTCGGTTTAATAACCTTCTTCAGGACAATATTCATTAAAAATACAATTAACATAATCAGTATAACACGAAGAAAACGATGGACATAAAAACAAGTCTTATCCAAAACAGATAAATGAAAATTTTAAATGATCAGCTTTCCGTTTGAATCTACTAGTCTCCGCGTATTCCTACAAGAACAGAAAAGATTTTCTAACGAATTATATATGAAAAATCTTTCCATCGGAATCAAATTTATAAATTTTTAAGAATACGTTGTGAAAGCGTCGCCCATTTGACGACAACGTGACCACGCTCAACATCGACCACGTCGACATTTCATTCATATTAAAACAACATAATCGCATTTTAAAGATTTTTGTTTTATTTTTCCAGATATTTTCTTCATATATATATATATATATAACGCAATTAACAAAGCAGATTTAAAACTTATTAAAGTAGAATGCTTTCCAATTCTGAGGATAATTCTTACACTTCTTGATCTTACTTATTATAAAACGCAGATTGTGTGTGTGTGTCTGTACGTTTATATATTGGATCGGATTTCCTACATTTTTCAACTGATTTCAACAAAACTTCACAGGACTGCGTAAAATTACCTTGCGATGGTTCTAACAGCGCCAAAATTTGGAAAAACACAATTGTTTTTGCATGAAATCAATTTGGAAACACGATAAAACACGATTCTGTGGCCAGAATGAAAGGGGGACAACTCATATCGAGTTATACTTATTATAAAACCCAGGTCGTTTGTTTGTGTGTGTCCGTTTATATATGGGATCGGATTTCTTACATTTTTCAACCGATTTCAACAAAACTTCACTTTTTTTTTTTTGGCAGGTAGTGTTTCTTATTGTCTTGCACATTATTTCTTTATTTTTACATTCAGAATGCTTTAAAAATTCCATTTACAAGACAATTGTTTATAATAAAATTCTATTGAATCGATAGACTCGTAACGATTGAAAACAATGTTTTTGTTTGAGTTTGGGTTTGAACAATTCGTAAAAAAACAAAAAACAAATCTAATTAAGACATGCGTGTCCGTCAACCTTAAACAATAATCTTTGTCAATTTTATTTTTTAGTCTTTATGATGGTCGATACTTGATCTATCACTTACTGTTACATCCCCGGGCAACGCCGGGCTCTACTGCTAGTATATATATATATATATATATATATATATAATGAATTTCAACAATTATTCAGTAATGCATGCTTTTATGTAATTTAAACATCAAGAATGAACAAAAAAGGATCAATCCAAATAGAAAGCTTTTTCTGTAAATGAACGCATGATAGATATTAAGAAATACGCTCTTTCGTTTTGATCATGGTAGAATAGGGCTTTCGGCCATAACACATTAAAACACCGGTTCCTGTGGGATCACCGAATTTAAGTTACGCCGAGTACGGTCAGTACCTGCACCCTTGTGCAAATTAATTGAAACAAGACGAATAATTCAGTTATTATTTACTTTTTTCGTATTTTTTGAATGAAACATGATCCAGTGCACATTTTAGTACTTCGTATGTCCATTCCACGAAGTCGTTCCTTGCAGACTGACCACATATACTCGATTGGATTTAAACCAGGAGACTTTGATTTGCTCACTAGTAAGGCTTGCCAGTGTGTTCATACAGCGTTACAATTTTCATAGGCGTCCTTGGAGTAATGTCTATCGCAGACAATGGCTGTAGGTCAACTAATCAACAGTCAAGACAATAGTATCTGGGCGTGATAAAAATCTGATGAAATCACGAATGGCGTAATATTTTTCAAGGTCAAACAAATTTCATCATACACACCGAAAATAGATTCATATTACCTCACACCACTGCAAATAACGTAATCTGAGGAAAAATAGAAATAGATTACACCGTGTCACCCCAGTGGGTCTAAAAAGAAAGGAAACTAAAGCGGTTGTTTCAATTAATCTGCACTAAGAGTGTAGAAGGTTAACCGCGTGGGAATAGTAGGCGCTGTAAGCTTGGATGTGCGGGTAGTGTAATGGATAATGGTTTAGAATTGTTAATAGGAGAACCGAGTTCCAATTCCATGTGGTCTCGTTATATTTACTTACACGCAAATACTCTTGGGAAAGGTGGGAAACAACATCTTCTCTCCCCCAACTATAGGTTAATCAGTAAGATTTGTATCATTAAATCATTAATATCTCACAAGAAAATATTCTTACAATCTGTAAATATAATCTGGCTTTAAATAATCTGCAAAGAGTTGATAATCCGTAAAAAAAAAATCAAACAATAAATGAGGGTAAAATGACCGGACAAAACAATGCTTCTTGGAACATAATTGATTAAATTTTTAAAAAATCAATAGTAAAGTTATTTACATTACAATTAATATATTTTTTTTTTTTTTTTTTTTTTTTTTTTTTTGTCTTTTTATAGCGAACTGGCTGCAAAATACAGTGTCAACAGTATTCCCATGCTGATTATAATCAACCATGAAGGAAAGATTATTAATAAAAATGGGCGTGACGATGTCATGGCTAATGCAAGTGGTACCCTTCAGGCCTGGAAGGATGCAGCGACGCGTTCTTAACTTTAATTTACAACAAATGCACATCGAGAAAATTCATTGATTGTGTTGTTACTAAAGAAGAAAAAATGGAAAAAAAAAACACTTTTCACAACAGAATAGCAACAAACTTTTTATAACGGTTTTAAATGAACTGACATATGAAATATTAACATTTCATATAGATGATCTATTTATGTTCCTTTAAAAGATCGGCACTATAGGGGGAAAGCTACAAATAGAGCTCAATATATCTATTATTACAGAGCAATATAATTAATAAAAAATAAAATCCAAAATCACCTCATATGGGAAAAAGCCTATTTCGGCAGACGAAGATATCGGTCGTCTGTCTTATCAACACCGGTGTGGACTGAGTTCGTGTCAGAAATAGAAATCCAGAAATGAATGAAAAAAATAAAAGGAATAAAGAAGAATTTAACGACAGCTTCAGTAAAATAGGGAAAAAATTGTCACTTTCAAATCTTTTCATTTATATCCCCTCATATTTTAAAATAACGACCAGCATCCATGTTTATGATTGTTATTGAAATATTATATTAAACTCGTTAAGATCAAATATCTAACGATGCGACAGAGGAATTTCTGCGGTTATTTTATTGTCGTCGAACTCGCCATAAGCTTACTTAATTATTAACTTAAGATTTAAGATTCATGAGAATATTAAAATTGGAAGACCGTGAAATAAATAAATAAATAATAATTTAAAACTAGTAACAATAGAAATGTAACTGTGAAAGCTAAAATAACAAAAACAAAAAGATTAAAAAAAACAGTCGAAAAACAGAATTTATCCATTTCAATGTTTCAGTCAGACGAAAGGCACGAGGGAGTGGAAGGTGGTAGGTATTTGCCGTAAAGGCAAGAAGTTTTTTTTAAAATTAAATCCGAGTATTAACCTAATGGCATTAATTTTGAGTGATATGAAGAATCAAATATTAATTTAAAATTAAAAATGCAATAAAAATGCGTTTAAATATAACTTTAAAATATACAGATAAAACGATGTAAGGGATTAATGGAAAGAGAGTTGGGGGAGATCTTAGAGTTGGGGAAAGTTTATGAATTATAATTAATAAAGTGTAAAGAGATTATAGAGTGGGGAATACAGAAATTAGAATTAGTTAGAGGGGAGTGAATATTATGGAAACATAGTATGGAAATTTGAATTCAAATTTCCATAATATAGGTTTAACTTTATTAGTTTCTACCATAAATTATTATGAAACAGTGAAATGGATAAATTCTGTATGATTTTTTTTTTTTAGTTTTTTTATTTTCACAGTTTCGTCTGCCGAAATAGGCTACTTCACATATGAAGAAATTTTGGATTTCACTACTTATATATATATATATATATATATATATGCTACAATTCAAAAGCTTGGGGCCATCCCTGGTAACTTTTAAATTGGCCTAAAAAGTAGTTGTTTCGTATTTTAAATGAGAGAAAATTATTATACATGGTTAAAAAAAAGTGAGACATGATTTTTAACTCGGAATTTTCTTATGCCAGAAAGAAAAAAACTCATGATTGAATTTTACTCCCGTCAAAATATCCTTCTTTTGGTCTTGATTACTGCAGCACTCGTTGCAAAAAGTTTCTTAAAGTATACATTTGATAATTTATTTTATTCTCTTTTTTCAATGACTTAAGGGCTATTTTCATCTTATTTTTCACACTATCAAGTTTATTCTATGCTAATTCTGGGCGTTGCTTCAAACTTTTAACTGTAGTATATATATATATATATATATATACATAAATATATATTTATAGATAGATAGATCTGTGCCGTTTGATTGGGTTTTCTATATTTCGATGATGAATTTTCCTAATCCACACGAAACAACTTTCTTTCGCGAAAACACTGATACGTGTTCTTTTTTAAATATTTGAACAACATTTTCACTGAATGCCTATTCTATTAGTTTTTTCATCAATTTCTTAAAATCATTTTTATCTTTCACGTACTGTTTGCCACCAGAATTCATATGCAATTGGTAATAGAATAAAGATTTCTTGTTTTCTCAATACACTTTCTTATCTTCTTTGCTTCCTTATCCATATATGTTTATTCAATTCATCCCAAGTAAGGCAATAAAGCCACTAGGACGCAAGGTGGTTACTGAGTTCGCTAGAATATGAAACAAACTACTATTAAAGGGAGAAGACAATAAAAGAACAAGAATTAAGAAAACAGAACATAACGATTTTATTTTTGTAGATAAAAGTTGACTGAAAAGCAAGAAGCCGGAAGAGAGTTCCACAAGCAAGAAGTGCGATAGAAGAAACTGTTAACATAGAACTTACAATTACATCTATCCATTTCCACTGTTATGAGAACTTTCCGCCAACCTAGTACTGCGCTTAAATTCATAAGGTCTAGGTACCACACGGAATGTTCGTCATAACAATTATCATTGAAGTATTTATAGAAAAGGCAGAGGGTAACTACGTTACGGCGATGAGAAAGGGACTGAAGTTGAAATGCCAGATTAGGACCAATACCATTGCAGATTCTTCTTTAGATTTTAATTAAGAATCTCTCTCTATATATATCAGGAACACCGGATCAGATGTGGCAGCAATATTCAAGGCAGGGACGAATAGTAGACTTTTAAATATGTAAAATAAACCTCCGGAGAGAACAGTTATATATAGTGAACCAATTTTCTTAGTTGCAGACTAATTCAATATACTTAATCTGCTTGAAAACGATAGTCCAAGAAGGCGTAAGGAATCATTCATTCTCTTGGAGGTTAGAATCAGTTATGCTGATGGAAGGTAAAAAGGATTCTATCAGATGATTAAGTGACAGCGGTTTCGTTTTTGAAGTGTTAAAATTAACAAGCCACTCATTAACATCAAATTATAGGTGAAATCATTATTGTTGCATTATGATGCGTTAAAGATTATAGTAAAAAAATGTTTACGCTATTTATATTCGGACTATCACAACGTTTCGGCCATTGTACCCTCCTGGCTTCTTCAGGTGTATATAGATCGGTGTAACCTACAGGGAAATCTGAGCTGAATTTACGGAGATAGACTCTTCTAGTTTCACTATTTCCCCGTTTCCTCTAAGTATAAGTACACACTGCTCGACTCAGGGATTGAACTCACAACCACTTTGTCACCAAATTCAAAACCAATGCTTTAACTACTGGGCCATTGTCCCATACGATTCAATGGAAACGGGAAAGAAATAACTGAACAATACTACAAGGTGCCTAGTAAAAAAGCGGTAAATTCAGGAAGACGTAAAACAACTGTTGAAAACTACTGACGACTGATGTGACTGAAAAATTCAGGAAGAATTTCTGCACACTTCGTCAATACGCAACGTCCTTCTTTAAAAAGAACGATAACTTGACGCTCAAAATCAATAAGTTGTTTGGTCATAGAAGAAGGTCAGAAGGAAAGACCATAGTTGTCTCAAAATGACCTTTAACTGGCGAGTCACAAGATCGAGTAGCAATTAATCAATCATAAAATAACCAATCAGAGTTAAGTAATTATGCGAGAGTCGAATGATTATTGAAGCTCATGGATATTCAAAAAATTTATTAAAGTTTATTCAAGGTCAATTTTTCTTGAAAGATAAAACAGTAATAATAAATTTGTCGCTTTTTTACAGGGCACTCTGATGATAAAAATAAGAATTAGGCGATATCCTTAAACATTGGCAGTGGAAAGAGAACAGTCTAACCCTTTAGATTAAATAAAGGCTTCAGTTAAGGATTCCCTGTCAGTTATCCAGATTGATATACACATGAGGAAGGCAGAAGGAGAAAACGGCTGAAACGTTATAATACAAGATGTTGACAATAATCCGAATGTAAATAGTATAAGTAATGATAACTACCCATCCCATTAATTTAGACAGAAATTAAAGAACCTATTTTCATCACAGATAACGTTTTAGAAATGAATCATTCTTGTTGAAAGCTAGCAGTAATGAGCAGTTAGATGAATTTTGAATTCTGTATCAGCTTGGACGAATTTCATTCATTTGATTTCTTTCGCCTTTCGTATGACCACCAAACAACGGGAAAAGGTGTCATAGAGATTCCTGGGTTTGCTGTGAGCTTGGATTGTCCTATGGCTATCTTCACCTGTTTTTGTGTCATATTAAAGATATTCGTGATTTTCTAAAGTTTATTTTCATTCTCTTCGGAGTGAAATTTCAGAAAGCATTGAAAATGAAATCAAGAGAAACAGATGAAAACAATGCATAACCTATCTTGAGTAAATGGATGGTGGAACAGGGTTTAGGAGAAATAACAAAAACATTTATTAAGAGCGACATAGGACAAGGAATTAGGGAGACCATGATCGCCAACGTCCTGAAGGGACACGGTACGTCCATAAAGAAAAAGAAGTAACTCATTTAAAATTTACTTATAACGCTATAACAAAGCCACAATATGGCTGCAAATCATTGTCCAGACATGTGTCATTAAATACCACGGAAAGTCTTCTTTTGAAAATATTCTTGGGGATTCTTTTCACTTCATTTGCGATCTTTTGAGTTTGAGTTTGTGGAAAACTAACAGAATTCAAAAAAAGATTACCAAAAGAAAAATTCCCATGTTATTTAACGACACATATCTGAACAATATATTCACGCACACACACAAACACACACACACACACACACACATATATATACATGGGTGCCTATGTAACATATTTTCAGCACATGGAGAGAAATAAAGAGAGTGACATAGAGAGAGAGATACAAATGAACATAGATAGATAGATAGATAGATAGATAGATAGATAGATAGATAGATAGAAATTTTAAAATCATTTAACAGTTTATTCAGAAAAGATGTTCGTTGTAGATATATTGAAATCTACACCTATGCATATATATATATATATATATATATATATATATATATATATATATCGTAGATATGAAAGAAAAAGTGATAAGTATTGAAACGTTTGTATAACATGAATCGTGTTTTGATAAATGAAGCTTACCTTTGTT